TTCGTAAAATTCTGACTAACAAACGATGTTTAAAATATCAACGCAATGCCTTTTGTTCAACTCCTATTCTCTTCGAAACGACCTATCATTGGCCTAAATGGGAGACTAGGGATACCTCATACCTACTCCCAAAAACTCAAATTAATTGGTCTTCTTGGACTTGTGCTTGTGGAGATCTTCTCATTCGCTCTCTCTTTCTTCCAATCGGATTTGAGCTAGAACGTTGTCGATATAGTACTACAGCTACCACCATTTAATAATGTCTCATTATCACACTACACCACATTAGCATTCCGTGTCAATGTCAATGATACATAGACGTGAAAGCTTTGCCCACAAATCGTTTTAACGAAGTGCACAATGGAAAAGACAAGCAGCGAACTACTTGAAAGAATATAACAAAGCATCTTCTGTATGTTGCAACCAGAAACCAAGCATATGCACATAAAAGTACATTTATTCATTAACTAAATAGTTTTAGGGTGACTCATCCATTGGCCAACTTACGAATACGAAAATCCAAAACCGAAAAGGAAACTGTTCAATGTTCAGTGCAGGATGAGATCACAAGCATTATTCAGAATTCAGAAACCACCACGGAGGCGAAGGACAAGGTGAAGGGTAGACTCCTTTTGGATGTTGTAATCCGCAAGGGTCCTCCCGTCCTCCAGCTGCTTACCGGCAAAGATGAGCCTCTGCTGGTCCGGAGGAATGCCCTCCTTGTCCTGGATCTTTGCCTTCACATTATCAATGGTATCAGAACTCTCTACTTCCAATGTTATTGTCTTCCCAGTCAATGTCTTCACAAAGATCTGCATCCCACCACGCAGACGAAGCACCAAGTGCAGAGTGGACTCCTTTTGAATGTTGTAGTCAGCAAGTGTCCTTCCATCCTCGAGCTGCTTGCCTGCAAAGATCAACCTTTGTTGGTCTGGGGGAATGCCCTCCTTGTCCTGGATTTTGGCCTTCACATTATCAATTGTATCAGAACTTTCAACTTCCAGGGTAATGGTTTTCCCAGTCAAGGTCTTCACAAAGATTTGCATACCACCACGCAATCGGAGCACCAAGTGGAGAGTCGATTCCTTTTGAATGTTATAATCAGCAAGCGTGCGACCATCTTCAAGCTGCTTACCAGCGAAGATGAGCCTCTGCTGGTCCGGGGGAATGCCCTCCTTATCCTGGATCTTTGCCTTAACATTATCAATGGTATCCGAGCTTTCAACTTCCAAGGTGATTGTCTTACCGGTAAGGGTCTTGACAAAGATTTGCATACCACCACGAAGACGGAGAACCAAGTGAAGGGTAGACTCCTTCTGGATGTTGTAGTCAGCGAGGGTGCGGCCGTCCTCAAGCTGCTTGCCAGCAAAGATCAGCCTCTGCTGGTCTGGTGGGATACCCTCTTTGTCTTGGATCTTGGCCTTGACATTATCAATCGTGTCAGAGCTCTCAACCTCCAAAGTGATGGTTTTTCCGGTGAGGGTCTTAACAAATATTTGCATGCCACCACGGAGACGAAGCACCAGGTGGAGGGTGGACTCCTTCTGTATGTTGTAGTCGGCAAGGGTGCGGCCATCCTCAAGCTGCTTGCCAGCAAAGATCAGCCTTTGCTGGTCTGGGGGAATGCCCTCCTTGTCTTGGATCTTGGCTTTGACATTATCAATAGTGTCAGAGCTTTCAACCTCGAGGGTGATGGTCTTGCCTGTGAGGGTTTTCACAAAGATCTGCATCTGTTCACACAAAACATCCCTATCGATCAGTTTTCATTCTTAAGGCAAAACTGGATATCCAAATATAATTGATGTAATCACACAAATATTAAATCAACAAAAATGATTTCATACAGATGTTGAAGATTCTAGATAGTTCCTTTCAAATTTGATTAATACCCAATACGCAAGCATAAAAAACTAGAATCACTAAAACAACAGTAAATTGGAGAAGCAAATAAAAAAATTCCATATGATAATTTTAAGATCCAAATCAACACAATGCCCATACTAACAGACTCAGAACAAAGTAGCCTTAAATTTAAACAAATCTCAAACATCCGAGGAAGAATAAAGCTGCATTAGGCTCTCGAGCCTGGGTAAAGGCGAAAGTTCTTAGGCGGCCATTGCACATGTTCTAGAGAAACAAGCCCTAGGTGTTGTCATCATAGATATAACATATGAATCTATGATTAACACAATTCGAATAATAAAAATTCATAGTATTAGTACCTCAAATCAAATCAGCAGAATCAATACCCAGAAAATCCTAGGAAATGCTTTAGGAGTATGATTCTCGAATCACATCAGCATTATCTTCTCAACAAAAATTGTTTCAAAAACGTTGCATATTCTAAAGAGATTATTTCAAATTTGATTATTAGCAACGTACTAACAATTTCATCCAGCACTAAACAATTGAGCAAAAACAAGTAGGCACAAAAGCAATTAAAAAATACAAACAAAAACCAAAAATTCCATCCGATATATTTCTATATCTAAATCAACACAAAACCCTTGTAGTAATAGACCCGCAACGGATTCACTTTAAACTTTAACATAATCTCAGACATCCAAGGAAGGATAAAAGCAGCACTAGCTCTCAAGCCCGGCGAAAGGCGAAAGCTCTTAGGCGGCCACTGCGAATGTTCTTGAGAAACAAGCCTTAGATTTCGTCATCATCGATAATATATATGCCAAACACAATTTAATTAAAAAAAATCACAAATTCACAACAGCATAATCAAAATCAACAAAACCCTAACGAATGTTTAACAAAATTAACCTAATTCCATCCAACAACGATCAGTAATCTGACTCGGCCAACAAACAAAATTAAATAGAAAAAAATTCTTCAGATATACGGAGTCTAAGCAATTTCAATCAGATCTAGATTAATAGCAACAATAAATTAAATTTTTCATCCGCAAATAAAAAATCACAGGAAAAAAAAAGAAAAAAAAAAGAATCGCAAGAATACGAACCTTGGAGGAAAAGCGAGAGAGAAGTTTAAGAGGTTGAAGGAATTGGCGTGTCTCTGATTGTTCCACGAATTCTGAACGATGGAGGATTTGCGAGGCAGGCAACCGTGTTTTTATAGGAGCGATTACCGACTTTATCAGGGAATCCTTTGAGGACCCATCCAATGAATTTCCGCCACTTGTTGGGAAAAAAATCTTGGATGCCAAGTTTAGTATCCCTGTACCTGTGCATAAATGAATTAACCAAAAATAATATACCTTTTTCTGAATTTTTTATACATGGATTTTGCATTTGAGAATTTAATTTCTTTTCTTTAATTTATCCAGATAGTCACCACTTAGTATCACAATCTAATAGTATTCTTCTTCACTTGTAAATAAGATATCTTGGGTTTGATTCTCGTCAATGACGAATTTGAACTACATTATTACTAGCCCATTATAAGACTAAGTCCATCACCTTCTCTCTAATATAGCTAATATCGTTTGTTTAAAAAAAAAAAAATAGCCAGATGGTTTTTTTTTTTTTTTCAAAATATACTTTTTAACAAACGATATAATAATTAGTAAATACATTAAATTTATAAGAGAAAGATTCGTACTTGAGAATTTAATACTGCAGTCTACAATTGTGGAAATAGGCGCATAATTTTGTAATACGCTAATTTGTTTACCGTTAGTAGATAAAATAATTTCTTTTACTTCTTAATATTTTCTTTTTTTTTCTTTCAAAAATACACTTTTTAACAAACTATATAATAATTAGTAAATACACTAAATTTATAAGAGAAAGATTCGTACTTGTGTGCATAGGGTTGATCACACTAATAATATCCATTTTTCTGACTTTTTTTACATGGATTTTGTACTTGAGAATTTAATACTGCAATCTACAATTGTGGAAGGGAATTGTTATCGGCACTTCAAAAATCTCATTCTACACTCCAAACTTTCTACATTTGGAAAGAAAAATATACTTGTGAGGAGTGTAAAATGAGATTTTTGGAGTGCCAATAACACTTCCCTTGTGGAAATAGGTGCATAATTTTGTAATACGCTAATTTGTTTACCGTTAGCAGATAAAATAATTTATTTCACTTCTGAATCCCAAACAATTCAATTTGGGGTCAATACACAAAAATTAAGATCATTTCATCAATCTGTTACTCTCAAATTCTAAGTCCCTTCATCGATGTTATTTTATTTTATACAAGCAATATTTTTGACTAAATTAATATAGATTACTGGGAGAGAAATTCAAACTTAGGTACTGAAGGGGAAACACGTAGCTTTAACCAAGTTGGCTAACCTCATATGTGCTTCTTATCTTTGAATTGAAATGATACAAAGAAAGAGCAAGAGATGTACAAAAGGAGAGAGATGTGAAGATCTCATATTTCATTTTCAAAAATTACCAGAGAAATTAAACAAACAAACAAAAAAGAAAAGTACATATATATAGAGAACTGTTATTAGTACTCCAAAAATCTTATTCTACACACTTCACTAATGTATTTTTCTTAGAATGCCAATATATACTGTAGTGGCACGTGACTAATTGCCTTACATTGTAACAACGGACAAACGGCCTTATCCCCTTCCAAGCTCCTAGTTTGGTTTCCTTCCACTTGCCAACTGAAAGCGTAAGCATTAGGCATGGCTTCCATCTTCCCACAATTCCTCTCAACTCATAATCCTCCCCACCCACCACTAAACCACCTCCCAACCCAAGCCACCGCAGCCCCCTCCCACCTTTCCATCCATAGACCACCCAGGAAACACTTGTCCACCACCACATGCGCCACTCCAAACCCTACTCAACCTGACTTCCCAAGTCCAGACTCCGAAACCACCACCAGCGCCGAGACATTCCCCGTCGAAAAGCGAAGAAAATCCGACATCACCCGAGACAGGAGCAGGTCAGAAACCGGCCTCGCAAAGCCGGAACCCCCCAACTTCGAGATAGGTTGGAAGAGAACCAAAGAGATAAAGCTAGAGAAGCCGATAGGGTACGTCATAGCTGACTTCTTGGAGAAGTTAGAGGACCTGATGGGAAAAGAATATGGCTCCGCTGAACTGTTGCTAAAAGTGGGGGAGATCGTGGCTGAGAGAGCGAGAGAGGAAGCGCAAGTGTTGAGAGACGAAGGCAAAGTGGAGGACAGAATGGTGACTGAGCTGTTTAGGGTTTTGAGGTTGATAGAGATGGACATGGTTATGGTAAAAGCTGCTGTCAAGGAAGAGACTTTGAACGAGAGGCTTGAGCAGGCTAAGGCAAGGTGCAGGCAAGCTATACTTGTTGCTTTGTCTTTCTGATTTTTTTTTTTTTTTTTTTTTTTGAATATTTCTGGATTGTACATTTGGTAGAAATTGAGCAAATGAAATTTTTTTTTCCCCGAATTCGAGATCTGTAACTTGGTATATCGCGAAGAACGGAGAAAAACTTGCAAGGGAATGTTCATGTAACGTTGTAGAACAAACCTGTTGTAACCGGGTGTACATCTCCTTATGTCTCTTTTGTGTGACACATGAGGAGAGATATAGAAAGAAGATGATGCTCCCGGTTGCAACCAAGCTTTTGCCGTCCATAAGCGCCGCTAATGTTGTAGAAACACATACATTATGACGGATAAGATCGTAAGGATTGTAAAACATCTTTAGAGAAGGCAATGCATGAGAACTGGCCTGCTGAAACACCCTGATGGCTAGATCTTCAGTTCCACAATTCAGCAGGGATTTGAACCCCGGTAATGTCGTTTAAAATCTGTCCAGCAAACCAAACAATGAAAACGCAAGAGCAGATTCTACAGCCAACATGAACCGCGTAAAGCCAGAAGTCTTAAGGAACCAGTGTAAATTGAATAACATTGAACGAATATATACAAGTTACACAAGTGAGAATTATCCCAGCACACGGCTCAATGTGTTTACACACCGCTGATAGCGTCCCCAATGGAACTTTTTATCTCACCTTGGGCCGTTCTACCAGGGGCAACAGTGGTTACATATGTCAAGGATGCATTCATCCATCTTATTTCTTCTTTTTCTTTCTACTCTTCGGTTCTGAGTATGCTGTTTTACATGCTTGAATGATATAGCGAACATGAGGATCATCTTTAGGCATTTTACCACGCAAAGTTCTCGCAGCCTTGCGGTCCCCTCCAGCCAAAAGGGCTTGATACATCCTGCAAGCATTCCGAGTTTGAAACCCAGTTGTTACAAAATCATTTCCAATACAAGAAAGCAAGGTGTTTGAGCAAGAGACAAAACAAAACAAAAAATTAAAATTCCCAAGCAGCAGGATTATTCACCTTAAAAAACTTAAAGTGTTGTAAGGCAGGCCAGTAGCTTCGTATTCTTTCCAAATTAGTCGGGCATTTTTCAGATCTTTGGCATTACCACAAGCGTGGAGAAGAAAATCAAGACATTTTCGTGAAGGTGTGATGCCAAGCTCATTCTTCATAGCATGAAGCAAGTCCAATCCCAACTGCAAATATGTAGGCTCTAACTCTGCAATTAAGGAAAATACCTACAAATTTGGGATGGAAAGGCACAAAGTACGCATCGTCAGTTTAAACAACATACTGCAAGGATGTCATGTCCCAGACTATCAGAGAACAGACATTTGAATAGATATATTACATTCAGTAAACAAGAAGAAAACGCCAAAAACGTCTGCAAAGTTAACTAGAAAAGATAAAGGAACCTAGATAAAAGAAAGGAAGGAAATATGTTATAAGTTCAGAAAGGAAATAGATTCTTAAAGAGTTACACCGATCTGTAAAAGTTTGACCGCCCTAGAGGAAGAGAGATAAATTAACATAATTACAATGAAGCTACCAAAATTAGATTCACACATAAGATGTGAGAATGAGAACAAACCTGATCAAAAATTACATCTAGAGCTAATTCGTCAGTACAGATTTTATCCCTGAACTGCTTGATCAAACTGACGGCAGATCTAAATAAAAGAGATGGAAATAAGCAACTAGGAGTTGTCAACAAATCAATTGAATGAAAACTATTAAAGTTGGAGCATCCAACAAACCAAATTGAATGCGAGGCTAGAATAACTAACGTGGGGTTTTATATTCTCAACGTAGCTGTGATATTAAGTATGAACAGACCTTAAATGCTTGTTCCGAACACAATGTGAGATAGTTCTCACGCAACCCTCAAGCCAGTAGTCTGGATCATCTAATTCATCAAGTAGAGAGCATAATTTGCTGAATTCTTCATCAGATTGAGAGTGCTCCTAAAAGATAAACAACAAAATGTTAGATGTTTTGACAAGACAAAGAACTCAAGCACTAATTTAGGAACTCACAATAAGACTTATAACAGCTTTCGGCTCTACACTGCATCCAGCTTGCTTCATCTCTTCATATATATTAAATGCATCACACAATTGCCCACGTGATGCGAGGGTGTGGATAAGCACGCTTTTAATTTCATTCAAGCTCTTTACTGGAATCCCATTATCCAAGAGTACCTACCATAGAACGTGTATTAATGAGATCACCAGAAACCATTCATATCTCAGCCAAGCAAATACCTTGAAAAGCTGTAATGTGTTAAAAAATTATTTCGACAAAGAAACCTAGAACTTCTGCTATAGACTTGTAGATTCTACTCTGGTATAATGGAACAATATAAACAGTTCATGAGCAGGAGAATGCTAAAAGCTAGAATACCAGGCAAATATTGTGTATGACTGCAACACAATATGGCAGGGAAATAAATGAGGCACTAATAGGAAGCAAATATAAATGAGATTTACAGTATTAATAGGAACCATATGGTTATTCAAATCAATGTTCTAAACGGCAAGGGCAAAGACAAGTCGTTGCATAAATTGCCTAGCCTGATCGATAGCCTCACAGTACTTAAAATTATTATAACCTTACACACACACACACACACACAATATAATACTTTGTAAAATAAATATCCATTGTTATTCTTCATGACCTGTTTTATCCATTGAGCCTTGTAATGTTTTGAAAAAAAAAAAAAATTCACAATTATTTTAACATTTAAAAATATAAGAAAAAAAGGACAAAGAAAATCTGATAAGTCCAAGTGGCCAAGAAGGTTATAAAACCTTGCACCAACCTTATGCCTTCTAGTCTGGCTGGGCAGAGGTTTTTTCTATAACCCCGCCCAAAAAAAGCCATGGCGAGTATCAAAACTACGATTTTAGAACACTGATTAAAATTTAAATATAAAATAAATCAATAAAAAAAAATAAAAATAAATAAAAAAACCCTTCAGTTTCCCCCACTCTTTAAAAGAATTTCCATTTTTTAATGTTGCTGAAAATAATTAAATTCTAGGAGGCAGGCCACCATTCTGTTTGTTTTAATCAGGCAATAACAAATTATGCCAATAAAAAGATTCAAAACGTTTAGGACTGGCTGCAGACTCCGAATGTTTATGGTTATTTATATTTTCCCAAGGAATAAAAAATGGATTTGGTCGCTGCTTTAAATAGTAATTGCATCACTAAATAAGCATTGTGTCGATATGATAGACTATTGATGGTAGACGACAAGCAGACAAATAAAAGAAAACTGATGTAATGAAGTCACATTCAATAATAAACTGTAACATAAGTTCTTCAGTGATATGCACCAATTGCCCCAACATGCACAGATAATCACAGATTGTATAGTCTTCTCTAATCTTGGATCATAAGGTAAGAAATTGCGAAATGAATATGTACCTGTTTGGCCTTTTCAAACTGCCCACAAGCTGCATATGCATGTATTAGTGCCATGAAAATTTGCTTGGTAAATTGAATTCCAGACTGCTTCATTTCTTCATAATACTATAAGTAGATATTCAGATCAGCAACTTTTAAACTCACTCATAAATTATAAGCAAATTGAATCAGGCGTCGGTTATTTGGCTGGCACTCAAATCAGGAATGGGGAATGCCATTCCATCAAGATGTGATGTTTGGCTCGGTAGTAAAAGAAATAAAACTAGAAAGAAATGACCTTAGTTGACTGAAACCAATTCCCTTAAAGAGGTAGAATAGAACAACGGGGAGGATGGTGTTTTAATTCCTTGGAATGTAATTTAGAGCAGATACCATTTTACCAATCTAGGAGTGTCAATTGAAAAAGAAAAACAATTCAATACTTTTCCCCCTGTTTGTCTGCGATTCAGAAGAGAAATGTGTCCAAGAATGATTTTGATATTCCTGTCGGTCACTCTCAAGTTGGGCCAGCTTTTTTGTCCTCAGAAACCTAAATGCCCAGCCCCAATTAGTTACACCCTCACGAGATCCAAAGGATCCAACACCACGTCGACAACCTCCCCCCATTTTCAGTTCTTTAAAATTTTCTCAGCCCTTGTTGTGGACATGGTCAATGGACACTACCTTGTCCCTTGCTACACATTTGAATAATCTACAGGTACAGACTGACATTAAACCTGCACCGGAGCCCCATACCACTACTATGGTGTTCCTCAAACTATATTGCAGTGCTGAACTAACAAAACATAAAAAGGAAATGATGGAAAACAAGTTTGAAATCTATGGCTATATGGTTCATGTTCAGATGACAATTTCCTTTTCTTTTTTTTTTTTCTTTTTTTTTTTTTTTTTTTTTTTTTTTTTGAAATGATGGAAAACAAGTTTGAAATCTATGGGCTATATGGTTCATGTTCAGATGACAATTTCCTTTTTTTTTTTTTTTTTTTTTGTTGTAGAGTGCAGTTAAGGGATGAATGATAGACAACCGAAAAGATTAGTATAAACTCCATTCTGGGACAATCAGGAGAATGAGAGCAATTCCCATTCCTGTACAAGCTTTCCAATGAAATGAACGAGTTATCACTCCAGGTTACCTTGTTAATATCCTTCTCAGAGTTACAGTTGGTAATTAGATAGCTGAATGTCCCGGAATCTGGTTTGACATTTGCTGCTTTCATTTGTTGGAGAACCCTCAACCCACCATAAATGTTCTTCTGCAAGGTATTCAAGGAAACAAAGTTTCAACTTTCAGCCACAAATTCATTGAAAACTAAAAATAGAACAAATCATTACTGAAGCTTAAAAAAAAAAAATTCATGTTGAATATCATAGTAATTGTTTGAAAAAGCGGGCTTAGTTTTATACAGCTGGAAGAAAGAAAGAAAAGCACATGAAAAAGAACGTTACCTCTCGGAAAAATCCGCCCATTATAGCATTGTACATGTTAGTAGTGGGTGTCAAATTCATTTCCTCCACGTCTCTCAACAAGCTATAAGCACCTTCATACTGCAAAAGTAAAGAGATACAATAACTGAAATTGGGGTCTTGTTGATAATAGTGGTTCAACTTCCATGTTATTGGAAAGTAAAAATACAAATATTAGGCAAAAAGCAACAGAAAATGAAAACTTAGACATGCAAGTGTGCACAGTAACACAAAGGGAAACCATATAAAACTTACATCCTTCATTTTCACGTACAAACTTATCATACACCTGAAAGTTTCGCAGTTTGGCTCTAATTTGTACTGGTAAATCAATGAATAGATTTTGTGCACCTGGACATGCGGCAAGCAGACAAATATCAGAAAATCATACAAGTCATCCCTTGAAAATAACTGAATGTGAAACTCAGTAGCATGCACAAAAATGAAAAAGAGATTATTCGACCTGGAAATACAAGAAAACATCGCAAACCACCAAATTATTCATGGTATCAAAAGGGTCAACACTTAGGTCATTATTTGGTCAACTTTACAAAGTCATTATCATGGATCATATTTCAATGTAACTACTATGGTTCCAACTCTTTTTAAATCATACCAATCTCTGTTCAAATTGAGAATTCTGTCTAATTTCTGTGTAATTTGACCCCGTATGCACATTGCATGCAGAGATTAATGGTCCCTTCCAGCCATTTCGATTGGTAAATTTTCCGACCATGTACCCCACCCCAATGACGCAGTGAGACCTGTATTTCTAACCCACATTTTCTGCAACTACATCAATCCTATATATTCTTCTGCTTTTCACTAAGGTTCTTCCAACCATTACAATTTCTAGCATATGTGCACGCCATAATATAGACAGCACCCACGTGCGATTTATAGCAAGTCTCTTCACATTGAAGGGCAAGAAAAATAACAAAGGTCATACAATTCAAGGGTTGAAAAATATGTACAGCATAGTGCATCATACCAAATTAAAATCACAGCTCTCGTCACTAGCACGTAAAATGGGGTGTACTGCCTCAATCGAAAAGGTCAACCCCAGTTCACACATCTCATTAACCAGTTCAAGAGCAACATGCACCTATATAGAAATAAAGGGACAAATAATCAATGTTAAAGCAATCTCTAAGCCGGCAAAAGAAATAGAAAAGATAGCTTTATGGTGTAAAGTAGAAAGCAAGATATTCATTTTCCAACATATAAGAATATATGGAAGGATAAATAATGAATCTCAATTGCTACATCTCTTAAGCCAGCATATCAAACATACCTTAAGTGAATCACAACAGTACATGATAAGCTTCTCATATGACGCAGAGGAAGGTGTCACCTCCAATTTCTTGTGCCATTTTTTGAATTCTGAAATGACATCCTCAACCTTCAACAATTGATAATTAGTGTAAACACAACACTCTCAATAGAAATATTGAGTAAAAAAATAAAGTTTTTCTGTAATTAATGGATCATGCAAACTTCAAGTAATAAAAAATGAAATCTGATTCCCTGCCCGATACAAAGAAAAGTCATAAACCAAAACCCAATTCGAGTCCCCCTATTCGGCAAACTCCAAACCCATAACACCACTCATATCATGTCCATCAGCAGCAGATCTAAACCTCCATCCCCTCAGTTTGCTCAAGTATCACCACTAGATCATTCTCTTGTGGGATTGGTTGTACCCGAGATTTAATATTATGTGTTTTAAGTAACAATTAGAATTCTCATAATAATTTGAATCCCAAAAGGCTTATACCCCAACAAACTTCAAGTAATAAAACATCTAGTGACATCCTTTGACTTTGGAAGTATTGCTACACTACAGCCCAAAAACTAATGCAAATAACAAAGTATTTATGTATTTTTTTTTATTAAAAACATGTGTACAGCTTTTAGATAGAAGCAAACTGCGTGAGAAGCAGAATTGCCTCTTATAATTGTCGACTTGAGAAATTACCAGTAGCATTCATGAGAAGTTCCTCACCGCTAAATTTGGAATGCCAACAACATAACTGTAGATGAAGCTTGTAATCTTCTCTGCAGCAGAGTCTGCAATTTTAGCAAAAAGAAATCAAGTGTATATAAGGATTTCATCGCATAGATACTGTGGAACCAATGGAACGCTCACTCTAATATTTTTTCTCCAAATTATAATAAGTTGCCAACTGTTTTTCCAGCACAAGAGATTTTAAATGGGAATGCAAATACCAGTGGCTTTAAAATATCATGAACATACCACAGGCTTTAAATTCCAGAAGAAACTTCTCTGCGAAGGAATTCAGTAGTTGCCTTCCTAAGCATCTAAAGATACTATCCACAAAAGGCAGAGATGAGATTTTGGTTACGTCCATCCTTTCCAACAGCTGCAATATCTCCTTTGTCCGGTCACTTTCACAAAGTGCCAAAAGATAATTCTCTGCAACATGAGTTAAAACAGTAAGACTTTCATTGATGCCAATCTCAAGAGCAGTGTCATGGTCACAAAAACGCCATGATGTGCTGAAAATACCAGCATCTGATTTCATAATATCATCATTGGGATATGCATATCCATGCTGGACATGTTCCATAAGTTAATTTCTCCATAGACTTTTATCTAATCCACACTGAATTTGAAACTGTTAGTGGCATATAGAATTTTTACAATCAGTTGGTGTCTAAGTCCAAACTGATGGTGTCATTCACATCAATGAAAGGTTTTTAAGACATTCTTTTGTATTTTATTTTCATTTTCCATTCTCTTTAGTCAGTAAAACACCCATTATTCAAAAACCTGCCAAAGAGTCAGTAGACCAAAATTTACAAAAGAGATCTATTTCCAAGTGCCCAAGCACCATTAGTTCTCAAACACATAAACATCTACACAGTTTCAACAAGGTATTTTGCCCAATATGTTACAAAAAAAGGAGTGACAAGGTTCTTTTTGGTACAATTATGCATATTGATTAACAATAAATCATCCTAGCTTGCAAGTGATGTCAAACAGAATTGTAACAAAACATGACCCAGCAATAAATATATTGTTTCAGAAAAACTTAAGATGTCCAGACAATTAGAATAACTAATCATCACTACCAATGTAACGATTACCTTGTAAATTGGACTCCTTTCCTGCATCATCACTTACAATGTAATTAGAGAGCTCTTGAATTTTTTCCTCATCGTCGACACTGATCCATAACAGCATCTCGTAGTATCCTAATCTGCCAACTGAACTAGGGTTTCCAGCTTTGATAACTCCACAGAAATATTGAAATTCCTTTATCATACCCATGTCAATTAGATATGCAAGTAATTGGCCATACGTTTCTTCCTCCAGCGGAAAACCCTGTTCCTTCATTGCTTTAAAAATTCGATAAGCCATGTGAAACTGTTCTACTCCAACATCTTCATCCGTACTACTCCTAGCCCTCTCTATGCAAATTTTAATCAATGAATTATATTCTTTCACGCCAGTTTCTCGTCCCAATTTACCAAAAACCTGAAGAGTGGTGTGTGTCCCTAGCTTGTTGGCACACATGTCAACTAACCGACCAAAACGATTAACCTGACCGCTACCGAAAGTCCACTTTTGCTTCCTTTCACGAGTGACTTCTTTGCGACGTAATGATATTGCACCATGAGATACCTCAGGATAAAATGGTAAGAGCAATGTATTTTCCTTAAATGTCTCACCTTCTGTTCCCTGGATATCAAGAGAATTTGCAGAAGTACCGCCTGAAAAAGGAACAGATCACACGGCTATAACAATCCGTCAACAAGAAAACCTCAGGGAAAAAATAAAATAACAATGACACATAGTATATGGCTAAAAACAGTCATGTTATTACAGAATAGAGGTTAGTTATTACAAGAAGGTAACAGAGCCTAAAGGGAATCATTAAATGCTAACCAATCAAAAGAATGAATCTGAGAAATTTGAATCTCCCTCTTACCATCAAAGTTTAAGTTCACCACGAAATTCTTCTGAAATTTCACTCAGCAGAAAATTTCCCTCTGACTCATTACTTAAACGCAATAATGCACTGTATCTATATACGTGAATTAAAGTGCCGACTTATGACGGTTTCTCACTGAAGAGAAAAAAAGAACTACACTGCAAAACAATAAACTCACCAACCTAGTGTATAAATGTATTAGGATTTTCACAACAAAATTAACACGCACATACCGTCTAATATCGAAAATATATCCTGAGGCAGTCCGTTCGGCGAATCTTCTGCAGTCAAACACAAAAGCTCAAAACAAAACATCAACCAATACTACATTACTTAAATTCTACTACATCCAATCTAATTGAATAGTAAGAAAACAAAGGAAAAGTAACCTATTTATTCTTTGCAAAAACAATTAGACAAAGAAAGGAAAACCCTTTATCCATCTGAACCAAATTAACAAAACCATTTATCTTTCTTTTGGGCGAGTTCTTCACTACGCATAAACCAAAACAACACAAAAGACCCAGAATTCCATTTCCCATTTCATCACTTTTTTCCCACATTTTCTAACCAACCAAACAAAGAGGTAATGCCGTACCGGGAGAGGAAGGCGAGTCCAAATTCAAGGCGGCGAGCGCAGAAGGAGCGTTGAGGTCGGAGGGTGGCTTGTTGGAGGCGGTGAAGCGCTGAGAAATGGGGTCAAGGGTGGAGACGAAGTGCTTGAGGGTGGCGTCCTCGGCGGGGGAGGATAGAGGTATGGCGGGGGGTTTGGATTTGATGGCGCCGCGGAAAATAGAGCTTAAGCTCTTGGCGTTGGAGGAGGCTGGCATCTGACTTCTGATTAATTTCCCTCTCTCTCTCTCTCTCTCTCTCTCCCTCCCTCCCTCGCTGCATACTGGGTATTTAATTACATAGGTCCTCCTCTCTTTTCTTAAAAATTTAATTAAATTTTGTATAAAAATAAAAAAAACTTCTATCCATTATTATTAAGTGAGAATGTGAACTTAGTTTCCAATAACCTAACAACAATATGATTTAAATTCGTTTTTAACAAAAATCGAATATAAGACATCTTACCCACGAATGATAAGGAGTATCATTATACTATAGTACTAAACGGCAAATTTATTATTTTTTCTAATTTTATTACTATTAAGGTAGGAGGCAGAATTTTGATTTCGGGACATTTAGCGGAATCAACATTTTATTCAATGGGATATTAGATTACGCAGATCGTAACTAGTTAAATAACTTAAGAAAGGCAGGAATTTCAAACTCAAAATCTATGTATGGAAACTCAACATCTTATATGTTAATATAATAAAAACTAGCATATGAGTACACACAAAGTGTGTGAGAAAATTTTTTATTTTTTGTTTTTGAAATAGAAGGAGAGAGGAAGAGAGTGATAGAGGATGTAGGAGTGAGAAGTGTTTTTTTTTTTTTTTGTTAATTAAAAATATATTAGAGTTACATGTAGGTGAGGTTTTAAAAAAACAAACACCAAAAAATTTTATTTTTGTTTTTGAAATAGAATGAGAGAGAGGAAGAGAGTGATAGAGAATATAGGTGTATAAAGTTTTTATTTTTATTTTTAATTAGATATATGTTAGGATTATATGTAAATAAGGCTTTGAAAAAAATAGTAAAATTTAATTGTGTGAAATTAAATTTCTGTCCAATTTTTTTATTCATATTATGTTTTAATTAAAAGATTAAACTGATAATTTTATAAAATTTTGGTTGGTAATGAGTATTTTATTAACAGTAATAAAGATTAGATTTGTCTATTAACTTTTTGGTAAATAATTAAGCTAAAATTATTGCACCAAGTAGTCTACTGTCTTGTTGAACAGAAATTTCCGTTGTTTGGGAAGAGGGTAGGTCTGTTGGTATCCTGCGCCGCAGACATGGCGGCGAAGTTCGCTTTAGGGTCGGAACCGGTGGTGGGTTCCCTCGCACCCTCGAAGAAGAAAGAGTACAGAGTCACCAACAGGCTCCAAGAGGGCAAGCGCCCCCTATACGCCATCGTTTTCAACTTCATTGACTCTCGCTACTTCAACGTCTTCGCCACAGTCGGCGGCAATCGGGTTCGTTTCTCTTCCCTTGTAATTCCGGGACTGCTTGTTGTATTTTCGTGCGTTTTCTCGCCAACCAAACATGGGTTCTATACTGTTTTGGCTGAAAATTTGGTAAATTTTTGGGGTTTCTTATGATTTAGTTTACTGGGCTTTGTTACATTGAGTGGATTGCTAGAGATTTAGGGTTTATCGAAGTTTTCAATGTCGGCTTTGCCTATCAATTTTTTGATACATGAACTTCTCATGGAATAAAGATATACTTTGGAATGGAATGAAATGATCTTTAAGGTTAGTGTTCCGAGAATCCGAGTGAAAACAAAAAAAAAAAAGGCATCACCTTTAACATTTACAACATTGGATTACAATGCAGCTTGAGTAGTGGTGAATTATGGCTGTTCTGACCTGGTAGTGTATAGTTCCTTCGTTTTCAAATAAACAACGTGAATTTGTTTCCCGTGTTCATTTGCGTAAAATATTTATCTGAGAGACAATGCAAGGTTCTCTTTCCGCTATTTGTTGTATTTGTTGTAAGTGTTGTTTTCTTCTTTTTCAGGTTACTGTATACCAATGCCTAGAAGGGGGTGTGATTGCTGTGTTGCAGTCTTACATTGATGAAGATGTAAGTAAAGACAGCCATCATTCTGTCATTGATCAAGATTAGTGTTCTTTTCTCGGTCATTTTATCAAACAGTTTAGCATTCATTTGCTATTGTTTAGAACTTTTTTTGCGGATATGTGATTGTCATGTGCTTGGTATAGATCAGAAGGATGAGTCTTTTTACACTGTGAGTTGGGCATGCAATATTGATGGATCCCCGTTGATTGTGGCTGGAGGAATTAATGGTATAATGCGCGTCATTGATTGTGGCAGCGAGAAGATAGACAAGGTACTAAATTTAGTACTGGTTGTAAGATCATGTGCTTTATAGTGGTGCAGTAGTAATGGTCTGGGTGCTCTTTACTATTCTATAGCTGCAATCAGGATGCAATCATACATCTATTTCCGCTGAAATATTTGAAATATTTCAAAAGTGCTTTGAGTGGCAATGAAAATACAGGATTTTCTTGCTTTACATTCTTTTTGCCCCTAACATACTCATCTATGTGCAGAGTTTTGTTGGCCATGGGGACTCAATAAATGAAATCAGGACTCAGCCATTGAAGTCATCACTTGTGGTGTCAGCAAGCAAAGTGAACACAGTAACCTGCTCCTTTTTCCTTCTTAAGATATTTTTTGTTGTTTACATTATTATTAATCTTAGAACTTTCCAGGATGAGTCAGTTCGGCTATGGAATGTTCAGACTGGAATATGTATTTTGATATTCGCAGGAGCAGGGGGTCACCGCAATGAAGTCCTGAGTGTGGTAACATATCTGACGAGGAGTTATATCCTGCCACCTTTCCATGGGATCTTTTAATTATAAATCTTTTGTTTCTTTTCTTTTTTTTTTTTTTCTTTTTTTTTTTTTTTTTTTTTTTTTTGTTAAGATTTTAATCAAAGAAAATGACTCGAGGGGCTAATTCTATCACCTTGTTCTTATTATTATAGGACTTTCATCCTTCTGACATATATCGCATTGCGAGTTGTGGCATGGACAACACCGTTAAGATTTGGTCAATGAAAGGTAGGACTTCACAGCTTTGCTTCATATGAGAATTTACACAGTTTGATATGGTAACCATAGTTGTGTAACCATATGGCATGGATGATGGATCACAATGATCACAAATTTACCCATTCAGAGTATAGTGTGAGTATGTAATACTTATGTTTCTAAAAAAGGAAAAATATATATTATCATAGAAAATAGAAACAGCCTTCTTTGTTTTACTAGTATTGAAGAAAGTAATGGGTTATTTTAAAATTCTTTTGATTGCAAATTAGCTATGTTTATGCATGATTATGCAACAGTGGGATGTTAAAGTAATTCCACATCTGAGGGTCAGAGTTCCTGATTTAATGTTTGGACAGGTGTCAACTGTGTAAATCAATATTATTTCTAATTTGTTTTCTTATACAATGCTTTGCTGTAGAATTCTGGACATATGTGGAGAAATCTTTCACATGGACAGATCTTCCGTCAAAATTTCCGACAAAATATGTGCAATTTCCAGTGAGAACCTGTTTTTTTTTTTTTTTTTTTTTTTTTCGTGTGTTTCATAATATAGTTTTCATTATTCTTTTATCTGAGGTTAACTTGAACCTTTCAGGTATTCATAGCCTCCATTCATACAAACTATGTTGACTGTAATAGGTGGCTTGGTGATTTTCTCCTCTCAAAGGTGAATCAGAATTTCATCCACTATTTTCATTTCTTTTCAGTATAAATCTGATGGTTATTTGGGAACAGAAAATATTTGTAGGATGTAAAATCTTAATATGTAAATCATATGTTGCCTTTACTAATTGGCAAAATTTTAATCAGCACAATCAGCTGGTTCAAATGAGTTAACGGGGAAGACATATCAGTTGCTGAAAAGTTGATTTCTATTTGTTTGGCATCAACTTATTGATAGCTTATTTGATCATCTGAAAGCAAGATAAAGTTTTTAACAATTTAGAATAACTTGCATGGTGTGATAAACTTTATCCAGATATAACAAATAGATTTCAAATATAGGTAGCTTGAATTGCTTTTAGATGCCTGTGGTAGCTTAATTCCATATATTCTCTGATGATTACATTAATATATTATTCTGTGAATTTCCAGAGTGTTGACAATGAAATTGTGCTGTGGGAACCGAAAATGAAGGAACAGTCTCCTGGGGAGGTTAGAAACCTGGCCAATTGGTAACATTTTTATTTTCTGTTTTTTTTTTCTTTGAATTAAAGAGATGAAGGGGAGGTGAGGAGAAATGAGTGGAATATATAAAACTAATACTAAAAGCTAAATACAATTCGAAATAGTTTTTTTCTTTTAGTTTTACGCCATAAAGCATTCTAATTATCTTCTCTGCTTCTTTCACCACTATCATCTGGCTACTCAGTTTCCTTCATCTCTTCCCCTTTATTTTTCTAATTAAAAACAAAACAGTTATCAAGCAAACCCTATTTCTTCTTCTTTACTACCTATTCCACGAATCTTTGCTGAGTTTGGTTGATTGTGTAGAATTCCCGTAATTATACTTTCTGGTGGCCTAAATTGTTATTTGGATGCTTTCTGGTTAGGGTACCGTCGACATCCTTCAAAAATACCCAGTTCCGGAGTGTGATATTTGGTTCATCAAGTTTTCCTGTGATTTCCACTACAATGCAGCCGCAATAGGTAACGCAAACTGCATGAGGAATTTTCTTAAACAATTGTAGTTACAACAGTTGATATAGTTCTTCATTCTTTCAAAAATGAAGGGACCATACCATGTAAACTTTAGATGTTCTGAGTTGCAGAACTATAGGTTGACTTCTTCGCTGTCTATTGTTTTCTGTCTAGCAGGGAATAGAGAAGGAAAGATTTTTGTTTGGGAACTACAATCCAGCCCTCCAGTTCTTATTGCAAAGTTTGTTTTGTTTTCTATTCTTTACCAAAACTACATGCTGAAGAAAGTTGTAACTTTGAAATGCAAACCACTAATAATAACCTTGCGCCGTTTTTCAGGTTGTTACATCCTCAATCAAAATCTCCGATTAGGCAAACTGCTACGTCTTTTGATGGAAGGTGATTCAAGCACAGTTTATCTCTCATTGCTTTGATTACATATCATCTTCTATTTGACATTATTCTTTATATGACCTTGTAATTTCCATATCCCTCGATAATGATGAAGTGTACCCTCTTTTCCTTATTCTATATTGCAGCACCAT